CCTCTCTCTCTCTCTCTCTCGCTGGCACACGGTCAGTCAAAGCCCGTCCCCCTTTCCCGCAACCTTTGTTATAAAGACACCTCTCTCACCCTCTCTCTTACGCCCCATCGAGAGCGAGGAGATCAAGAAGAGCGAGGAAGAGGAAGGCCGACTTCCATCCATCGCTTCGTCCCGTCTCCTCGTGTCTCACTCTTCCTGCCTCCTCCCCCTCTTTTCTTCTTTCTACTACTACTACCTAGAGAAAAGAAAGAAAGCTCACATCTAACACACCAGATGGCTCGCTCTCTCTCGGGTGCTGCTGCTCTCGCGGCATCTCTCTCCGACAGCATCACCCTCTTCGTGAACAGGTAGGATCATCATCATCATCATCTCTTTCTCTCTCTCTCTCTCTCTCTCTCTATCAATCTATCTATCTATACATCTATCTATCTATCTATATCATACATGGATGAACCTTTGGACCCATACTTACCTCTGTTCTGTTTTGTCTCCTACAGGCGGGGATACGCTGCAGCAGCGGCGGCTGTGGGAAGACCGGCGGAAAAGAAAACGGTGGTGCGGAAGGTGGTCGACTCCTCGACTGCCGCCGCCTCTGGTTCGTCCAATTCCTGGATCCCGGATCCGGTGACCGGGTACTACAGGCCCGCCAACTTCCGGGTGCAGGATGCGGCCGAGCAGCGCAAGATGCTTCTCTCCTACAAGCAATGAACCAGCAGCTTGTTCTTTTGTTTATGCAAGTGGGAGAGAGAGAGAAGGCTGAGAGCCTCTGTGCTATCTCAATGATATGTTTCTTCGACTTCAAAAAAAATCAATCATAATGAATAAGAATTTCTACTTATTATTTACGCAATCTATCCTCGAAATACTGGGGAAGAATGGATCCACCATTAATGAGAGGAAGGGATTATAGCAAACAATTACAGAGGCAGAAACAACTGAAATGATTGAAAGGTCACTAATTCCTTATAAGTTCAATAATAATAATAATAATAATATGCCCATGATGAGAAAATTATTTTAATGCAGACTTTCTATGCAAGAAAATGTGCAGAGTTTCTAACGAATAAAATTCAACAGCTGACTTCCTTTTTTTTATTTTGCGTGTCAAAATTTAATGCCACTATAACTTGACAGTCACTACTTCCAATTCTGTGGCGACTTGGGTGTGTTTCTTGGGTGAGAGATGATCATAAACAGTGTTGATTCGTCACCCCTGGTTCTACTTTTTGTGATTATTGGAAAGAGAGCAGGCCTGACATGAACAATCGGAAGGAAAACACCAAGAGCACTTATTAATTAGAAGAGCATGCTTGTCCCAAATGTAAATGAGATAAATCAGCTAGTATCTAATGTCTGAAAGCAACTTGCCCATCCATCTAATGGAAGGGTCTACCAGATTCTCTGAAGAATGAGGATTAATATTTCATCAATTATATGGACACATTGTCCCAGCAGTCATTCTTCATTATTATTTTTTGAATGATAAGATTAGATGCTCCTGGATTTGCCAGCCTTTGGTTCCAGTATAAAACACTCCCATAGCAATACAATAATTAGAAAAGGCAGCTTGAGATGAAAGGCTAAGAGGCCATTCTTTTCAAGTTGTGCACACGCAACGACACCTCGGGGAGGCGAAGAGGCCACCACTCTTTTATGACAAGAAACAATCATCACAAGTGTTGATGATTGCCAAACAAGATGTCAGCTTATTGTATACTCTGCTTTGGCTGCAAAACAAATTCATTACTACGTGTTGAATGATTGAATCTGGTACAGATACGTGGAACCCATGGTTGACTGTCTCCATTGATCTATCATGGGGCAAAATTTAATTGGTATGCCTGCCACCAAATCGGCAGTCTTGTATCTTTATTTGTCCAACCAAAAGTCTTGTCCACTCCACCGGTGTATCATCACGTTAAATGCCTTTTATCTATGTCCATTCCAGGTAAAACCCTAATCCTACAACAAGTGATATATGATCAAATTGAGATGGTTAAAACCAGTTAAAATTATCCCTCCAAAAAAATATTTCATCCCTTCAGGTATAAAAACTTACTTTTAAGGGATTATTTTTTACCATTGACGACCATAATCAACTATCTCAAATTACTAACTTGGATATGGAAGGGGAGGAGGAGGGATCGAATCAGAAAATATTTTTCAATCTCGGCTTTTACACAAACCCTAGGAGCTCAATGTTTTCATTGGCACCTCGGACAACCTTGTGCACACAAGTTTAAACCATATTGGATTGACTCAAACGTCAACAATATCTTCCTGTAACACCAAAGAAGTTCAAGTCTTGTTTTATCATGATTAGGTCCTAAACAAACAAGTTTAAGTTTTCTAATGGAAGGATCTCATAATGACTAGGTCCTTAAGTCTCTAACACTTCTTAGTTAGACATTAAAAGTGGATTAAGATATTAGAATAATTTATAAGAATATGATGATGTACTATTATCAACTTAGTTTAAGGTTTTTAAGCGCTCAATAAAATTAACAAGGCAGTTATGCACGAGAATGATACCGTTGGTATTAGAATTGACCTAATATGTCAAAATCTTAAGGCAGTGATGTATACATCAAATTATTCTTGTAATAACTTAAACATATACATACACACCCCTATAATTAAACTTCATTAGCAAATTATCATTTGATTGTCAGCAAAAACTCTAATTAACATTAACATCCTACATAAACTTTATTGCTGCACTCTAATTACGGAAAAAAAAATAATAAAAATATGTCACACATTCATATTTTTTAACTTGATAATCATAATGAGTAGGTTAATTAATACATGCATATATGTTACATTAAAGACTATAACGACAAATATGCTGTTTTCAACTATGCAAATGATAGATATATATAAACTCCTTTAGATCATTGGATGTGCTAAAGATAACCTTTTTGTTTGCGTACCTCTTGTGCAGGGGAGGTGAAAGCCCGACCTCTTGAATGAATCGCCTGCAGGAGATCCAGCAAGGCGCCATTTTTCTTGCCCACTGTGAACAGCTTTTCTTTCTTGCTCGCAACTCCGTCTCTTTACCTAACAAAGATCGATCAGATCAGGTGATAACCACACAGCAAAAACAAGATGAAGACCATCAACTATCTGTAGGAAGTACCGTTTTCCTCCGCGGTATCTCCAGCCTCTTGTTGGACGCTGGACCTACGCAGGAAGAGAAGAGATCGCCGAAGGGAGGAGGGAGGAGGGTTACGACTTACGTCTACCACCTGTTCGAGGAGTGGCCTCAAAGAGATCTGGGGGGCGGATACCTGTGGAAATCTCGTTCCAAATGCCAATTCAGTGCCTGTTGAAGTATCTGATTCCATTGATTTAAAGAAACGAGCAAGCTCAATCGATGGCGGTTTGCTCGCACTGTATGCCGATCAATCAAGATGATGGTTCTTTTGGTCGGTATCGCCAACCCTTGATTTACCGAATGCAAAGCGTACATTCCCATTTCGACAGCTCTTGGCAGATCAATCGAGTCCAAGTTCGTTCCAGAAGGCCCACATAGGTTCACAGCGTCACCATGATCAGTTCGATGGTTGCGCGAGAATGAAAAGGAACAAGAGAAGAAGGGCCCAAGAAATTTACACAAAAGCAACACCAACAATCCCAGAAGAATGCGGAAATCATAACAGCAACAATCCAAGAAAAAATTGGAAATCACAACAACAATAGTCCAAGAAGTGGAAATCACAACGACGATCCAAGAAGAATGTGGAAATCACAACAACAAACCCAAGAACAATGTGGAAAACACAACCAAGGATAGGGAACTGATCACCAGATCGAAGATGTCCGTTCTCGAGGGATCCCCGGTCTCGGAAATCGG